GCAGCTATTTACCTTTATTGAAACCGTATGCCACACAGGATTTTTAAAGAAATCTTCCAAAATTCTTTCCCTAACAATTTAACAGAAATACCAAACATACAAGGTTAAAAAAGCAGAAAAAAGCAAACAAATGTTTGAGTCTGACATTAACTTACTCTCCCATCAGTTGTACAAAGTCAGGAAAAACAGAATTGAAGAAACTCAGAACATCCTCCTATGCAAATAGAAGAAAATTGAAGTAAAATCAGTCTTCTGTCATCTAAATACATGAAACTAAGCTGGTACTAGCCACCCATCCACATAAGTAATTTCTGTGACTCAGTAAAGTTAATACTTAACACAGGTTTGCAAATCTTACTTATGATGAGATATGGTGTGATGACAAGTGATGTAATGAAATCTTCATCAGACGTGATGTGATGTGATTTGGTGTAGAGTGGAATGATGTCGAGTGACGTGGCATGGTGAGATGTTATGTGGTGAGGTACGTGTGACATGAGGCCATGAGATGTTGCATGGTATGATGCGATTTCATATGATGTGATGTGGTAAGATGTTATGTGTTGTGGTGTGGCATGATATCATAAGAGGTGGTGTGGTGAGATTTTATAAGGTGTGGTAAGATGTGATGTTTTGTGGTACGTGTGATGTGATGTCAGGAGGTTTGGTGTCATGTTCTGGGGCATGGTGTGATATGATGAAGTTTGTTGTGATATGATGTGGCATGGTGCCTCCTCCTCCTCCCATGGTGTGATAAGATGTGGCATGGCAGGATGTAATTTCATGTGATGTTGTCTGGTGTAATTTAATGTAATGTCAGACTGACATGATAGCAATGGGGTTTCACCTTTGTCTTCAAAGAGTCAAAATTTTCAAATGGCATAAAAAGAGTACAAGTAAAAGATGGATCCTGCAACAAAAAACAACAACAACAATAAGTTGACCCATCAAAAAGGGAAATGATGTTACAACAAGTACTTAGATGATAAAAAGTCACAATCTAAGACTATATAAGAATAATAACTGATGAAATTATGACAGATTTTATCCTTGACAAGTCACTTGGGATGCATAAGTATTAATAGGCAAAAAATTTTCTAAAGAGAAATCTGCTGTATTAGTGGAATATTTACAAAACTTTTAGACTGATCTGGTTCATGCAATCGTAACACCAAATAAATGATCAAAGATATCAAGGCATTGGATTAATAATGTTATTTTATTGAAATTGATTTGAAACTCTCGGTAAAGTGTCAGGCAACAACTAACAAACTATTTCTTGTCTTAAATTGGCCACTATGGATTAAATCTCGTTAAATAGCACATAATCCATTAAAATTTTTGCAATTAAAGCAGCATTACTACCTTGTTAGGAATAGCAATTAACATGAACCCATCTCGTGGCCAAACGTGGAGATAATCTTCTACAATAGCATATTCCCCATTCTTGTCTGGCAGAAGTTGGAATTCTTTGTAACCATGTGAAATGTATTCTTGGCTAAAGTCAAACCTAGCGTGAAATTAGGACAATTTTTTAGGTCTATTCATATCAAGTGAAATGATATAAATTGATAAATATATAAATTGGCCACCATAAAGAGTTTGGCCCTTTGTCGTCCACTGTAATGAAGGGCCAATGCTCAAAACATCTGCTTTGAGTTTAGTGGCAGATGTAAGGGAATGAGGGATTTAGATGAAAGCCAGGGTTTAGCAGTGGGGGTAAGGGGTTTAGCAGTAGGGGTAAGCTGAATTACACGTTGCTTTAAAATGGAGAATAAAGAATGAGGACTTGACTCCCATATTATATATAGTATAGTATACTTATAGTATATTTCTCTTACACACACTCAAACTACCTTGGCTTCTTCATCATTTCGCTTCTAAGGGTTGAATGAGCTCCATCAGCTCCGATGACGAGCTGTGCATCTACCTCCACAGTCGTACCTTCTGGGCTGATATGAAAAGTATCAATACATTAAATACTAGCCTACGTGTTTCCCTTTCTTTAAAAATGAGTCAGCTCAGGAGGGGAGAACTCACATTTTTCTGCTACGCATTACCAATTAATTACATTGGCCAGAACAAGTAGAGAATTCAATAAAAATGCATGTGTGCAAATAACACAACAGTACATAATGTGCACATTTTGATTAATTGACTGCATCATAAAGGCCTTAAAAAAAGACCAACTTTTTATCATACCATGAAAGTACCAGATGCCCCTCCTCCAAGTTTGCAGACACCAACTTGTGTTTAAAATGTAAGTGCACATTAGGGAAGGTCTCGGCAACTAGTTGAAAAAGAGTTATATCATTGCCATTGTAAAAATATAAATCAAGTAAACTTAACATCATTAAACATTACAGAACGAGGGTGCAGTGACCAGATAGTTCAAGGGTCAAGAAGTTCCCTGGTTTGAACACTAGCAAGGTCATTATCCCATTGTGTTTTTGAGCAATATACTTCTCTCTCACATGAAATGGCCTTTGCCTTTTCACTGGAGTATAAATGGATACCAACAAACTGTCAAACAAGCCTGAAAAAAATGCCTCAGAGGGGGGTAGCCTGTAATGAATTAGCATCAATCCTGTCCAGGGTGAGTAGCAATACTCCAGATGGAAGCATGTTTTATATGAAAACCATGACGACCTCCAGATAATGAGCAGATCAATTCAAGCTTCATCATTCCCCCCAGCACCTCCCCCTACCCCAGGCAACCCACAGGCATTTCAACTGCTGAATATTGGTTTGTTCAAATTCCTGCCTTCTTGGGGCAAAAATTGTGTTATCTTAAAACTGTGTATATAAGAACAGAAAAATAATCAAACCATGACTGATTGCGCTTCAAAGCCATACCAGAAAGAAGTTTTTCATTAACTTTCCTTCTTTCCATCGCCATCATAGGATGCTTCAGAAAGAGAAAAAAAAACATTGCATCTTATTATACTGTGGATCAAAAGCACCACTATATCCACCCCCAGCTTCCAACACCAAGATGAATACATGTTTTAGTGTATACCACATCAGTGAGATGGTAAAGCACAAAAAGAAGATTTCAACTCATTTATTCCTGAAACAATTACAATATTTATGGTTGCAAATCCCTTGTGAGTTGTTCAGAGGTGAACAGCAATTAGGACTCTGGACTTTGAGTAGCTAATCAGAGCACATCCACTCTTTTAATATATACTAACTACCAATTATTCACTAAAGTGGAGGTAAAAATCAATCCCTTTCACTATAACACTGAGGTAAATAGCTGCTTTAATGTAATTAATAGACCACACAGATATCAAAAGGTAATTAGTTCATTCCGGTCAATTTATTGGCTATTTTAGATCTTTTTTTTGGTTTTTGTACCAGATGATTTTTTTGGTTTTACAGTTTTTCAGTTTTGGTGTTCACTGCTGTTTGCGAATTTTGCATTTTTTAGCATTTGCATGGTTTTTGGCTTTTGTCTAAAACACTGATTGGTTTTCAGATTTGGTATCTAATGTGGTTTTCAGCTCTTCCTTTTTAGGTTCTGGTTTCACTTCCATCTGAGCAGCAATTATGTGCCACCACTGATCTCAAATATAGACACGAAACCTCCAATTATGCTCCACTTGTCACCACTGCATTGAGTCAAAAAGGGTTTTGATTACTGGGATGTGAAAATTGATCAGTTTTGACAGTTTTGCATGTGGGTATTGGTTTTGTTCACATTTTTTTGCAGTTTAGGATGTTTTTTTTTTCTATGGTTTTGTGGTTTCTAATGGACCTCAATACCGCTCTCTTTAATATATGATAAGCTGAATTATACAGTCAGGCATTTTGATTGGTTCTCATTTAAGATCTTCAAGGGGACAAAAGCATACACGACGTCACCATTAACAACTGTACATTTGGCTTTTTTTATCATATAATTAAATAGACTAATCTCTGTCACCTTGGCACTAGATCACAGTGATAGATCACTTGAAAGTAGATGTCAAAATATGCTTGGAACCTCCGTGATGCATTCTAATGGATCTTGCATGCCACTCTTTTGTTCATACCACCTTTTGACATCATCTGTGATCTATTACGAACTAGTGCATGATGATGTGAAATAAATGCATGCATTGAGTTTAAAAGATCAGTAATAAACTCTTGCTCACAAGTCATAAGTGGAGGCACATTGGCCTCATGGTTAGTGCGTTAACTCTGGATCGAGTGGTCCCAGTTCGAGCTCTGGCTGGGGTCATTGTGTTGTGTTCTTAGGCAAGACACTTTACTCTCACAGTGCTCCTCTTCACCCAGGTGTACAAATGGGTACCAGCAAATATGCTGGGGGTGACCCTGCAATGGATTTGCATCCCATCTAGGGGGAAGTAGCAATACTCCTAGCCGCTTTGTGCTAATGAAACTGGAGTTAAGTGCCAGCCCCAAGGGCCAATTTGGCCTTTTAGTAAAGCCTTTATAAAGGATTTACTTTTTTTTCACAAATCATATTTAAATTGCTAAACTTCATAATTATTTAACTCCTCACATGTTCTCCATGTTCAAAGAAGAGAGTTGTTATGTCTCCTGATTGGGGATGAATTTTTCGGCCGTATATGTCCACACCCAGAGGTGAAATCTGTTATATAAAAACCAAACTTGATTATTCTTGCATTATTTAGTACAATTAGGACTTGTCGAATGGTCTGTTAATAATTTTAATATCTTTAAGACTTCAAAATATATCACATTTTTTAAACATCTTAGATTACATTCTACTTATCCCAACAACATGCCTGGATATGTCCTGCTAAGAATAATGAAAAAAATATTAAAGAAGACTGTAACATGAATATCAGCTCAGCTCTTTATTTTTAGCAAATAAATCTGAACATTTAAAATGAATGAGAATTCTAATGTTTCTCAGCACCTTCCTAGATTCAAAATTGTAGACATTCTACATTGTCTTGGATGGTCATGGAAAGGACTTGGAAATTAGAAGCATTTTCGTTTACCACATGGGTGTCTCACTTTAGCAAAGACTTAGCTCTATTCTCATAAATGCAATTTTAGAATGATTCGCAACATCCCAAAATTCCACACTTGATGAGAATCATCCCCATGCAGCAAATGTGAAATTTTGGAAGTTGCAGATCCTCCTAAAATTACATGCCTACATGGTTTGAAAGTAAAGAAATCCTTGATTGCTGAGCTTTTTTTTTTTAACAAGTAAACCAGCCTTAACCCTTAAAAACCCTACGAGCGACTAGCATCAAACTTCTCCCAACAATATCATACCTGAATCTTATGTTAAGGTCATAAGAATAAAGGAAATGATCACCAACCCACCAACCAAAGAAAACTTAAAAACCCTAAGAGCGACTAGCATCAAACTTCTCCCAACAATATCATACCTGAATCTTATGTTAA